GGGGAGGGGACCCGTAATGTACCTACGTAGTATGAATGCCAGGGCCGTGCTGGGGCCAAATGCTACCTGTCACTACCAACAGACTCGCACAGTCGCACTATCGGCATCCCACCGCTGCTCCTGCAGGACGCTGTCGTGAGTCCTCGTCCTCGGTGATTTCCCCGCGCCCCGATGTGACGCTGCTCCTCTCCCGGCACTTGGCGGCAGTGTGTGTGTGGGCATCGCCACGTGGGAAGGCCCCATAACCCGACCGGGACGGAGAGAGAGTGAATAAATATCACTTGCACGGACGCGACTCTCCTCGTTCCCGTTCTTTCTCCTCTCCTTACCCGCCCACCTTCCCCGTCCGGCCCTTAATCCCCCCCCCCCAAATCTCCAGCCAAGCATCACCATGCTCGGGTCCCTTGCCCTGCTGGCCCCGGCGCTTGCCGGCCTCCTCCCGGCCGCCGCCGCCGCCACCCTCAACACCCGCACCGAGGTGGTCCCCCGGACCTTCACCCCACTGGTGTGCCTGGTCTTCAGCGACGTCGTCAGCCCGTGGTGGGTAAACAAGTGCAAGGACTTTGTCGACCTGGTCGTCATTGACCTGCGCGACGGCGCCGACTACGCCACCGCGCACATCCCCGGCAGCGTCAGCGCGCCCTTCACCCCCGTGTCGGCCTGGTCGTCCGCCGGCAATGACAACCTGATCCTCAACATCCCGGCCGCGTCCGACCTGTTCGCCACCCTGACATCCCTGGGCGTGAGCAACCCCAACCCGGCGACCAAGATCGTGCTGGTCAACGGCGTCGATGCCGTGGGCGCCTTCTCCCAGGCCGCGTCCCCCCGCGTGGCCACCACGCTCAAGACGGCCGGCATCTCAGACGGCCGCGTAGCCATCCTCGACGGCGGCTTCCCAGCCTGGGCGGCCGAGTTCCACACCACGACCGTCGTCCCGGCCGTCACGCCGCGCACCTTCACGTCGACCGAGGACCGCAGCTTCCTGGTCAACATCTCTTACGTGGCCGCCCACGTCAACCGCAAGGCCGAGGGCATCTACCTGATCGACGGGCGCGACACCAGCGTCTACAACGGGTCCGTCATGGAGTCGTGGGCCCTCAAGCCCGGCCACATCCCCTCGGCCGTGTCGCTGCCGGCCGTCAAAATCTGGAACGCCGACGGCAGCTTCAAGAACCCCCTGCAGCTGCTGGCCCTCGTGCGCGGCGCCGTCGGCTTCAACGTCAGCCGCACCTACGGCCAGATCATTGTCTACTGCGGCGTCGGCGGCTACGCGTCCAGCTGGTACTTTGTGCTGACCCGCGTCCTCGGCTTCGAGAACGTCGTCTTCTACGACGGCTCGGCCCAGGAGTGGAGCCAGTACTACGACATGGAGCTTTAGAGCGTGTCTTGGAAAAGAGGGAATATTTTGCTCAGGGCCCATGTATTGCTGGGTTCTGTATACCTTGATCAATTATTCAGTAATTATTTCCTGAAGCGTAAAGTGTCGCGCGCTATTGTTCTGACAATCCAATCAAATCATCATCGGTGCTGATGACCGCTTGTCCAACAATTAATTAGTTCTCTCCTTGTGTTTCTATGCCTCCCTTGTTCAAGGTTGTGAAAAGAAACGCCAAGTCCAGCACAAATTGCATCCTGTCTTGGAGGGAGGCCAAGCATAGGCAAAGGCCCAGTTCATTTCACAGCTCCGCCCCAGTAACGAGACTCACTGCTCTTTGTGTGAATGGATTTCACTCCCAACTCATAAGAATCGCGCGAGGAGAATATCATCGCCGGGTGCACAGCGATCCAAAGTCCCCCTTTTGCGTTTGGAGCTCCCATAACCTACCCTAACCCTAATTAAGGCTGGGCAGCCGTCTTTGTTTGGCGATTCAGGGGCTGAATCAGCAGCTAATTTGCTTCTGAAAGAAAACACGCGTCGCTTCTGAGACCGCTGATCATTGGCGTGCTGAAACTGACTACGGAAGCCGCGACAGTCGACGCTCAATTTTTTTTTTGCCTCCGGTTCTTGACAGTACCCGTCCCAGAGTGATGAAGGATAGGGAGTAAATCGACATCTCATCAACATGGCCCAGCCTACCTCCCCCGCGTTCAGGCGAAAGCAGGTGGCCACGACCAACCTCGTCACGACACGAGCGGACACGGGCATGGAATCGACGTCGCCACCGCCACCCCCTTATTCACTCCTCGCCGAACCATCACAGGCAACACGGCCCGAGATGAGATTGCACGCGACAGCAGATCCAAGCTACGATTTCGGCGGCAGGGGGGACTTTGCACCCCACGACTGGCAGCGTCCAGTGTCGCGCAATCAACATGGGTACCACGACGCGCCGCAGTCTAATGACATGAGGTCATTCGCGACTACACCGGCGTGGAATTCCAGCACTGCGACTTACGACCACCACGACGGGGGATTCTCTCAAACCGCGGAATGGGACCGGCCCGATTCTCGCAAACAAGACGTCATGCAGCAAACTCGGGTTCGTCCGAAGGTTTACCAGGCGTGGAACCCAGGCAATCCGCATCATCCTCACGAGCGGGACGAGCGCAACGATCCGAATCACTGGCAACGTCCAGTCTCACGCAACCAGAACCCGCCGCAACAGCCCTACTACCCCAGTCCGGAATCGTCATGGAACCCAAATGACCAGCTCAACCACTACCACCAGAGAGAAACTTTCAAAGACCCAACCCACTGGGAGCAGCCCGTCTCCCGCGGCGACCAACACGAAGCCGCACCGCGATTCGCAGCCAGCCCACAACCAAACCACAACCCTACCTCACACCCTCCGCCCTCTCCCCAAACCCTCCTCCCACCAAGGCTCAACCGCCTGCGCGTAGTGACAAGCCTCCCAAACCTCTCGTCCAGCCACAGCCCACTCACCCCCTCCAGCGCAGCCACCCTCCCAAACTGCCCATCCCTCTCGAAACCCGCCCTGCCCCCTCGCCCCATACTCCCCCCAACAACCACCCCCTTTTCCGAAACCAACAACAACAACAACAACAACAACAACAACAACAGCAACAACAACAACAACAATAACAACAAATCCTTCTGGACAACCGCCCTGACAGAAACCCGCCACCTGGCCTCGGGCCTAATCCCGCACGCAACCGAGTCGACAAAACATCACACGATCCTCCGGCACTCCCCAGCGCTAGTCTTCTACCGCGGCCCCAGCACCTCCGTCGCGTTAACTCTGCTCAGCACCTCCGCCCACCCGCTCCCGGCCGACCGCTCGCTCTGGCTGCAGCAGCGCGGCTTCTCCGGCGACAGCGGGATGAAGCTCAAGGCCGTCCTGGGCGCGACGGCGACCTGGCTGGAGGTTACCCCCTCGCGACAGATCGCGCATACCGCGGAGCTGGATTCCGCTGTAGAGCGCGGCTGGGCGCGGGATATCGAGCGTGTGCTAAAACGGGACGCGAGGCTGGTGGCGCGAGAGACGCATGTCGTGCGCATCCCAGAGGCGTCGGCGGATGGGTATTTCCGGGTCGTGTTATGTTCCGGAGGCGGAGCTGGAAAAGGAAGGAAGGTGCTCTGTCCGAGTCCCGTGTTTCGCGTCGCCAGCACCTCGGCGGACGCGAGCGTGTTCCGCGGGGCGTCGCTTGCTACCATGCCGCTTGAGGTCGGGGTCAAGGTCGCGTCGGTGTTTGCGAGCACGGTCGTGAATCGGTATGCCGGGCCTGTGGTTGGGGTTGTGCAGGACCGGGTGCAGAGGGTCAAGCCCGGGTTTGTGGCCACGGAGGCCGGGAGGAGGGGCTTGGGGCGGTTGGGGAGTGGTGGAGGGAGGCTGGCGGGGGGTATGGATGGGTATGAGGAAGGTGAGGGGGGTTTCGGAGATGGGGGGAGGGGGTTGGAGGTTGTTGGGGCGGACGAGGGCCCCGCGAAGCCGTTCCCTGTCAAGTTCCAGGGGCGCGTGGTCAAGGGGACTGGAAGGGGGGCCGCGGAGCTGGGCTTGCCGACGGCGAATCTGGTCAACGTAGCTGAGGATGTCAAGCAGAGTCTGGGGGGGGTCTATTTCGGCTGGAGCTGCGTTCTCCCCCAACGGGGGTTCGAGCACATCTCGGCCGCGTGGCATGAGGCGATCATCAGCGTCGGGCCGTCGCCGTACGCCAAACCCGCCGTTGTCCCCGAGACGGCCGTGACGGTGCACCTCTTTCACGACTTTGGACTCGAGACGTTCTTCGATGCGAGAGTAAAGGTCATTATCATGGGCTTCTTGCGGCCGGGACAACCCCCCGGGGCGATGGTCTCGCAGCAGGAGAGGCTGGACACGGTCTCCAGGGACGTGATCGTGGCGTATTCGAGCCTGAGCAGGGAGAACTGGGGCCCCGAGGTGACGGTTAGCAGGCTCAAGACGTCCAAGAGCGCGAGGAGCTTGGCGGAGAGGTATGGCGGGGCACGAGATAGGATGCAGCAGCAGGTTGAGAGCTTCCCGGTGCACTTGGTGGGCATTCGCACGGCGAGTGGCGAGGTGCGGGATCAGGTGCATGGTAATGGGGGGTACTGGGTTACGAGATGAGGCGCTGTGGTTCTTCGGGGAGTGCTGGGTTGGGGCTGTTGGAGAAGATAGATTACTCGAAAGTAATGAGCATTTTGATTTGGGAGAGAATATGTGAAACGGTGCTCATCCCGTTCGCATCATAGTCGATAAAGCGGTTTAGTTGATTGAGCCAGATTTGAAAATCCGGTGTTCATGAAGGTTTCTGTCTTTAAATGCTAGAAGTTAGTAATATCAATGAATAGGTTACGCCGTTCATTCCTCGCTAACATTGGAAGTAAAGTTGACATTTACTTACCTTCTTTATGCTCGTCTACTAATTCACTAGGCTCGTATTTTCCTGGGCCTCGAATCGCTAAAATTTGAGAGGTTGTGGTAGGATTCCACGGTAAAAGATGCTTGCTCCTTGGAGAAGATTCCGAGCCTGGGAGCCGACTAATCATAATGCGTATGAAAAGAAAGCAAAAATAAAGCAAAATAAATGATGTAATGGTGTAATGGACGGGCTGGGAATCGAACCCAGGACCTTTCGCAAGACGTTTCGAAGAGAAGACTTGCTAAGCGAACGCTCTACCAACTGAGCCACACGCCCTAACCGATTTGATATAACTCAGCCACACTTTCAAAATCCATGTACCTGCTACTAGCGCTGTGTATTTGAAAAGTCACCTTGATCATTATCTCCATGACAAACCCCTTTTGATTTTCGAGACGAGACCAATAATAATAGATACAATTCGAAATATATGGACATGATTCTCGGTGCATTCCGGGTTACTGGATCATCGCTCATGTCCGTAGATGAGGTGGCAAAAGGGGCACCCAGTCGGTGCGAAGGAAATGCCGGCGGCATTGAATGGCTGAGCGCAAGGCACCCCGAGGGCCTGAGCGCGACAACAGCGAGGCTCAGTTGGGTTCTGACCGCCAACTCGGCATCAGGCTTCAAGCTCCTGGAAAAAAATTCCCTCTTTCTCTTCATTCTCACTGCCCGTCGTCACCAAACTCAGGCTTCCGGAAAAACTCCCAACACTTTCTCTCCATACACTGATATCATCAGCTAAGCACTCAAAAATGGCCGAGGCCCTCGCGCTTGGAGCCAGCGTCGTCGCTTTTATTCAACTCGCCGACCGCGTCATCGGCTTGTGCAAGTTCTACATCGAAAGCGTCCGCAATGTGCCGCACGACATACGAAAGATTCTGGTCGAAGTCTCGTCGTTGAAGTCCATTCTCGACAACCTCCGCTTCCTGGCGACCGCAGACGCCAATGCTGGAGCCGCTTCGTCCTCTACGATTTGTGATCTGGGTGGTCCTGATGGGACGTTGGGAGCGTGCGGGCTCGCTCTGAGTGAGTTGGAGAAGCTTTTTCCCGAGGATCATATCCAGCAGCTGGCAGCCAAGAGGAAACGAAAGCGACAGCATGTATCTCAGATCGTGACGACGCTTGCTTGGCCACTCAAAGCCAGCAAGGCCAAGAAGCTGCTGGATGAAATCAGTCAGCACAAGAGCACAATCACCGTTGCTCTTTCGGTTGAAACACGGTATGCACATTGTTTATGCGATCTCGTTTATTTTTAACTGCTTCTCGAATACAGCTGAATTCAAAACATTGTTGGCTGATATAGTGACATGTAGTCAGGATGTAAAAGGCCTCAAGAAGACAGCGTTGGGGATTGAAACCATGTTGTCGGGTGAGCTGATTCCTGTTCATCGGCGTTGCCGTGCGCCTTTTATTTAACATTCCCAACGAGTGCTTAACTGATTACCTGAATTAGATGCGCGGCGTCAATCGATCCATAAATGGCTGGAGGTGACAAACCCCTCCGAGCTGCACAACAAGTCGTGCAGCCTCCGCCAAAAAGACACCGGATTCTGGATGCTTACCTCCCAGAAGTGGAAAGATTGGTTGGCCGGCGCAGGTCAAAGCCGACTCCTCTGGATCCATGGCATCCCGGGAGCGGGTAAGACCGTCCTCGCATCGACTCTGATCGAAAGTATACCCACACAACCGTCCACCGGTCTGTCCCTTGCCTCCGGGAGAGCATATTGGTACTGCTATTTTGGGCATGACCAAGACGAGACCATCCCGTTTCTCCGATGGGTCATTAGCCAGCTGTGCAGACAGGCTCGCGCAATTCCCTCTTCCCTCGTCTCCATGTTCCAAGGCGGCTGTCAACCCAGTATGTTCAAGCTCGTGGACAGCCTAGCCGAGATTGCCGCCATGTTTTCGGTCGTCTACGTGGTGATCGACGCGCTGGACGAAAGCAAAAGGCCTCGAAACGCGCTGCTTGATTTGCTGGTCACGATAGTGACGGATGAGCGGTTCAAAAACATTCGTCTCCTGGCAACAAGCCGCGAGTACCACGACATACAGTCGGCACTTTCCACTTGCTCGGTCTCCGTCGCGATGGAGATTGAGAAAGTTCAAGAAGACATTCGATCCTTTGTTTGAACCTACATACAAACGGATCTTCAGCGAGACCGTCGGTTTTCTAGCTGGCCAGCAGAACTCATAACTGAGATTGAGGGTGCTGTTTCTCAGGGGGCTCGGGGCATGTAAGTGCCCATCAACTACCTTCTCTCTACTGCCTACCTATCCAAAGCTCTACCTACTTCCTTGAGCTATCTTCTGACGCTTCTATAGGTTCCGGTGGGCGGTCTGTCAAATGGACATTCTTCGACGGCTGACGACAGCAAGCGAGGTCAGAGCGGCCTTGCAAGACCTACCGGAGACCTTGGACGAGACATATGAACGAATATTCAAAGCCATATCCCCACAAGAGCGCCCGGTCGTGCAGAGAACACTGGCTCTACTATGCGGAGTACCAACCGCGGGTATTCACCGGCCCTTGTCAGTCAACATCTTCCTACAACTGCTATTCGAGACCTGGAACAACACGAACGGTCTAGATGTGGGGATCCACCCCCTCTGCAATGCCGAGGGCCTGAAGGATACCTGCGGTTGCCTTGTCACCGTATCAGATAACAAAAACATCTCTCTCGCCCACTTCACAGTCAAGGAGTTTCTGTACTCGCCGCGGATCTGGAAAAATAGCTTTTCCGACATTTACTTCTTCCGCATGACGGACGAAATTGCCGGGATAATATATCTGACCACCGTAATGAGCGGTGTTTTCGCCCTCCACCACCCCGAGGAAGTGACTCCTTGGCTGGATATAAACCAAATCAACGATTATTGCCTATTTCTTGGCTTATGGGCGTTGTCGAAATGGGAGGGTTCTTTGAGAAAAGGTGGCTTGCAACATCTCGGGCTTCGGTTATTCGACCCGCTTCTTCCGCACTACCCGAGGTTTGAACGACATATTTTGAAGGATCTATATGCGAATGACTCATTCATTTTGACTACGGCGAGAGATATCCCCGAGACAGCCATTCTCACTCGACTTGTGGCACATCAGTATGACACTTTAGCTGACGTCTATTCGGACCATGTCGATGTTGCTCTTCTGCAGCGAACAATCATCGAAGCCCGGATATTCCGCAAGTTACCTGAGGCCATTAGGGGTGTTAGGAGTACAGAATCTTTGTTCGTCGGTAACATACACGAATTCTTTGGTCCAGCCGGAATTGGAAAACAGAACCAGGCGAACCGCTGGGAAACTACGTTGCGACGATGGTCGTGCAAAACACAACGGCAGACAAATGGAATAACCTAGAAAGTAAAGAATGACCGCAGTTGCATGTAGTCTGCCTGGGGCATAAGTGACGTTTATTCGAATTCTTGGGGCCACCGGGCGTCGGACGGAGTTTCCAACAACACCACTAACCTTCTCACTTCGTCAACATTGGCGTAGTTCACTGCACCACGTCACACCGAGCAGCTGAGTAGAACCTAGGTAGGTAGGTATTCATAAAAGAAACAAGAATTATGTATCCCATTGCTATTTCATGTACCTCCCTAGCTCCCTACCTACCTACCTGACTCATAAACCACACACATTATTACCTATACCCCTCCAAGTCCCACCTACTTGGGCACCTTTCCCAGTCTCTTCAACGTATACTGGTACGTATAATGCCCGCGAATATCACTCGCCATGATCCGCATGGCAATGACATCATTCGCATTGACCCCCTCCTCGACAATCCCCGCCTGCACCGCCAGGTCGGCATACTTCTTGGCCTTGACATCCAAGCCGAGGTAGTTGTAATTCGTGGCGGCCAGCTCGTAGGCGTTGAACAGCCGCGCCTGCAGCCGCTCCTGGTCAAACAGCTCCAGGTAACGGTCGATCAGGTCCTCGGTGACGCGGCGGCTCTCGTGGTTCTTGAGCTCGGCCTGGATGGCCAGCAGCTCGACGACGCGGTCGTCCGACGCCTTGAGCGCGGCGGTGTTGCCGCGCGCTGTGCACGCGTCGCAGGCGCATGGTTTGCCGAGGGGACTGTACTTCTGCACCCACGCCTGGCGCTCCGCGCGCGGCGCGAACGGGTCGACGTACGCGATGGTCAGCTCCTCGCCCTCGGCGGCGCGGCGCGCGACGGTCGTCACGTGCGCCAGGCTGTCGTCGATGTGGAAGGCCAGGTTGGGCCGGCAGTCGTGGCGGAGGATGGACACCTCGGGGTAGTTGGCGTAGTGCTTGGCGTGGTCGCCGGGCTTGGCCACGTAGCCGAGGTCGACCTCGAAGGGCGCCGCGCGGAGGATCGCCTCGACGGAGCGCTTGCCGTCGTCGCCGCGCTGCTTGTTGAAGGTCTCGAGGGTGGCGGGGGGCAGGAAGGAGACGGCAGTCTCGAGGATGCGCTTGCGGTCGACCTTTTTGACCACGTCGTCGAAAAAGTCCTTGTGCACGAGCAGGACGGGCGACCACGACATGACGGGCTTGCCGCGGCGGAGGGGTTTGGCGGCGGCGAGCGCGGGGCCCTTGTTGACGATGAAGGTCTCGGACACGGCGTCGGGCATGTAGTACTTGTTGTCGGCCTTGTTGATGTGGTTCTCGGTGCGCTCGACCTTGAGGTACTCCTCGTACCGCGTCACGAGGGCGATGCCGCGCCCGTTGACGAGCTTGCGGTTGGTGTAGATGCAGTACCCCTTTTCGCAGATCTTGGACTCCCACCAGCCCTCGACCGGCGGGGCTTGTATCGTGGTCGGGGTGGTCGTGGCTGTGGCTGTGTTGTTGTCGGCGTAAATCTGTGTCTTTTCGATGGCCTCATATACGAGCCCATCTGCGGAGCCCGAGGGCACGGGGTCGGCTTTGGCGTCGGCGGCGTCTGCGACGGCGACTTGCGCGAGAAGCCCGAGCATGAGCGCTCGGGTGAGCGAGAGTTGTCCCCAGGCCATGGTCAGGTTCGGTTGTTGCAGAAGACTGGTTAGCCGTTAATCAGGTCGAGTGTAGACTTCCCAGAAACCTGAATCTCAACAGCGGGAGAGCACGGAAGGCGCAGCTGCACAGGGCACGCGTTGCTTTTTAAACCAGTGATCCCCAGTGACGTCGAAGGGAGCACAGGGTGCAAGTCGCGATTTAAGCAACGTGGCCTAGACGAGCCGCTGCCATAACGGTGCATGCTAATCAAGGTTCTTCCAAAGAGCATCTAGAATGCCCCACGGCGTGTGAAGCGATTGGTATCTGCAACTGCCTAAAT